CATGGTAGCTACTTAGGGGGAAGGAACTCTTGTGAAGCTCCCTTAGTTAGAGTTTTCCTTTATTTACTTTCCTTGCTTGTTTTCATTTGTAGTTTTCTTAGCTCTAAACCCAAAAGTTGTTTGCTAGATAACAACCTAAGCGATTGAAGTAGGGGTACATGGATCGGCCCGTGTTGACAATTTAAATAATTGCTTTATAACTCACCCAGCTAGAGTTTAAAAACTTGGACTCTAGTCGGGATTAATTTGTGGTGTAGTTTCGTGCGAGTTACTCTGCCACCTCTCTCAAGCCCAGATCTGGCCTCCATGGCATGCACGCCACGGTCCCAGGAGTTCCTACCTTTGGTGTTTTGTCCCCAAGAATGATCTCTGGCGGCCAAAGTACTGATCATCTGATTTAGCTCAGGTGGAGTCTTAGTGAGAATGTCTCCACCCGGGCATAAAGACTCGATCAATCTCTGACTCTCCGAAGACAGAGCACTGTAAAAGTTCCCCACAGTGAATGCATCACTAAAGCCATGATGGGGACACTTCCAGAACAGTCCCGAGTACTGCTCTGAAGCATCTCGCAGTGACTCATCATCTTCTTGACGGAAATGAGTGATCTCCCATTGAATCTCCGCAGTCTTCAAGGCCGGATAGTACTGATGCACGAATTTGTTTGCCAGATCGTCCCAAGAAGTGATGGACAATAGCGGCTGGGTCTCTAGCAACCTCTTCGCATGCCCCGCCAGAGAGTGGGGGAAGAGGTGAAGACGGATCGCGTCATCTGGTACACCGTTAAGCTTGAATCCATTAGTAAGCTGCAAGAACCGAGAAAGGTGCACCCTCGCCTCTTCATCCTTGAGGCCATGAAACTGGATAGATGTTATTATCAGTTGAATCCATCATGGCTTGATCTCGATGTTATTAGCAGGAATGGGTGGATACTGGATGACTGGGCGGATGTCGGCGATTCCCGGAGTATAGAAGTACTCCATGGTAGGACCCTGCGGAGGTGGTTGATGATGAGCATTCTCTGCTTTGGGGACTGCATTATTGGCCAGAACCTGATTCAGTGGGGGAACCTGGAGAGGCATCCCCAGAGGTGGGTTTTTCCCCAGGTTCTGGTTCATCATGTTCTGCTCGTCTCCCATATCGTACTCCTGCTTGAAGTCGCTGCTAAGATGGCCGTTGACTTGCACTTCCTCCGTAGCCAGTCTTGCTCGATGTTCCTTCCTAAGCTGGCGACAAGTACGTTTTAGCTCCGAATCCAATGGTATTAATTATCCCGACTGGCTACGGGTCATGCATTACCTGCATACAGACTGCAAGCACAACCCGTGAAGGCTATCACGACCTTACTCTCAATCGTGAGGCCCTAGCTCTCAATTCCGTTAGAGTGCTAGGCAGCCTTCTCTCAAACTCACAAGCAAGCAAAGAACAAGGAAGCAAGAAAAAGAAGTGGGAGAACTCTCTAGTGTGTATTACTCTCAAAAATGATGGAATGAGTTACAAGTGAGGGAGATGGCACCTTATATAGGCCTCTCCTCATGCAAGGTATCAATGCCCCTCATAATGGTCCATCTATATCAATACACCCATTAAGTCCCCCCATAATGCACTCTAATAATGCCACCCATAATGTGACCCATAAGTGCACCATTAAGCTCTCTATTAAGGTGGAGAATCCTAGGAGCATCTCTATGCTACTAGTCTTCCATACACGCCACATGTGCAGCTGCCATGTTGCCACCTTGTTGGCATCGTGTCATCTGCCACATGTGACAAGGCACACAGGGGAAAAATGCATAAAATTAAATGCTAAAGTAATAGATGTTCACGTTTCTCCAATAACCTAGAGGGTTCCCCGTCAACGGCGCCAAAAACTTGACATGCTACGACACAACGCCAATCTACGACCAAGTATAATCGCAGAAAGGAAATGCAGAATATTGGAAAAGTCTAATTATCAACCCGGGCTCTAGATCTACTGCCTACTCAGTGAACTCCTGTTATCTAGCGGGAACAAGAGAGTGAAGTGTTTTCAGTGCAAAAGAAACAAGGAAACAAGTAATGGTCTGGTTCTTTCAAGTTTAAAAGGTCATCCAGATATGGATACCCCTAGTGTGTAGCTAGTTAGGTTATACGGTCCCAAATTACTCAGATTGATAGATAAACTGCGGAAAGTTCTTAACTGGTCTCGACTCTCAACTAAAGTGGTCCAGGCCCTCTTGATTCGAATACCCGGCGGGCGACTAACTTCCACTGGTATACTCTAACCAAGGATAATCATGCAAAACTTCCACTAAAGGCCTTATGTTCCAGAACGGAGCAGTGAATCAACTTCTCGACTAAAGCAATCGATTCACCACTTTCAATTAAAGGTTTCTCTTTTAACCTATGCAGAGACTATCGTTCTAGGTTAAATCTGGAATTACACAAGTTTGATCAGGACTCATGCAATTCTGAATAATTCCTCAACTGAATTTATCCAATCAACCATTAATAACATGGTTCATACAATCATTCCTAACATACACAGCTAGGGTTCTTCATAACCAGATGAAATGGAAGATTACTCCATGGAGAGCTGTGAGAACGACATGCTCGGAGTAGACATCATCAAGGTGACAATGGAAGACTGCTCCTGAAGGGAAAAACATGTTAGAATATGTCAATATCACCTTCCTCAATGATTATTGGTACAAATGTGGTGGCTTATGTATCTCCTAAGTGTTCCTCAGTAAGTATTAGCCTAGAGAAGTCTTTTCTAGAGTTGGTTGTAGATGTTGCTTCGCCTGGTTTGCCATCAGATGCTGACTTTCAGCAGGTGATAAATGGGTTGAGGCCACGTTGCTGGTCTCCTCTAGGTAGTCCCACGAGTGTTTTGCAAGCTTCTAATTCATCTTTTCATTTGCTAAGTGATTTGGGTGAAATGGATGAGGTCAGGCTGCAAGAAGCTCTAGTTAAGGGTGGAAAGAAGTAAGGGTGAAAGCCCTCGTCTCCATGAATATCGTATTCTGGAACGTTAGGGGGTTCAACAGACCTCCTAAGAGAAGGGACTTTCTGAGAGTTCTGAGTAAATTGAAGGTTGATGTGGTGGCTGTATTGGAAACTAGAGTTCAGAAAGCAAAGGCTGAGTGAGGGAGTAAGTCAACTACCGATTGCCTAAACCGAGAGGGTCGAGTGGCACGGCCTATAATGTTTACCACGGTTTTGCAATTGAGATTGTGTTCTCCGACCATATATGCATCCCTCTGCGGTTCGCGGTTACCTTGCCTAAAGCAATCGTTCCAATTCACATACCATGGTAGTAGTTAGGGGGAAGCGACACCAGAGTGATCCTTCCACAAAAGAGTTTTCAAAACCATTTACCTTTGCCTTATTATTTTATTATAATTAGCAAACTCTTAAACCAAAACTTTGTTGCTAGATAATGATTAAAATGACTGAAGTAGGGGTAGACAGACCGATCTGGGTTGATATTTAAACATACTTATCCTATACTGCACCCGACTAAGGTTTATACTTGGACCTTAGGCGGGAATTTATTGTGGTATTCGGAGGAGTGAGTAAACAACCTCCACCACTTCTCAATTTTCATATCCAAGCTCCCTCCTCCCCATCTCTCGATCTTCCTTCCTCCGACACCATCTTCTTCTCCGGCATCTGCAAGTCCAGCTTCGTGGCCAACAAAATATCCCACACTTGATTCTCTCGTCATACGCGCCTCCTCCCTTAACCCCGTCGGTGCCCTCTCCTCCCTCTTATCTGGTGGAGGGTTTGGTAGACCAATCAGCAGAGCGACGGTGGTGGATGGTTTTCAATCGGCGGAGGCAGCAAAATCTAAGCTATGTCGCCAATCAAGCTCCTGCTCCAACTTGAGAATGGAAAGTTTAAGTGGCGGGAAGGGGAGGCGAGGCAAACAAGAATCCTACCAAGAGAGCCGAGGTGGAGGCCAAGTTCAAACTTATTTCCGAGACCTATGACGTCCTCAGTGAGGAAGCTCTGAAATAGGGGCTTTTCCCCAACCTTTCTCTACCTCTCCTTCCACCTCTGCAGCACCAAATCGCTATTATTATCTGCATCAGCACCCAATCATACCTTCAGGTTCAAGTCCAGGACCGTGGCCGATATTTATGAGGATGGGGCTGGCAGTGGCGAACCGATTGGAGGAGGGACGAGGCATCGGTTGCAGGGGTAACCGGTTGTTGATTTGCAAGAGGGAAGGTTTCGTCGATGCCCTTATAGAGGAAATCGATGGAGGAAGGCACAAAGGCGATACAAAACGCCAAAGAGGAGGAGGAAATAGATGGAGTTAGCTTGGCAATGATGTTGAGGCAGAGGGGGGTCTCGTTCTTCCCAACTGGGGATTGAGTCCGCTCTTGCTTCTAATATGTGGGTCAATGTTTCTATGTTTTTTGCTTGAAGAATGTTTTCTTCTTAGCAAACGTTTCGATTGTTGGACAGGGGAGGAGTTTTCGAGAGTACTGTCAAAAATCAAAGATGATTTCTTTCTTTCCGGTAGTAGATTGATGGAGGAGAATGGAAGGCATAATGGTTTTAAAAAAATGTGTAATTAATTTTATCCAATGTCACCAATTTGTTTGAGTCAGTTGCCACGTCAAAGTCAACTATCGGATTGATAGGATGGAAAATTGATCATTTGGCTAATAAATTATTTTAAAAAATATATTATTTTATTTAAAACAAAAAATTTGACTAATGAATTGTATTTCCTTTATGGAAAAAATTTGGCACATATTTCGTCAAACCAAATGTTCAAGAGTTGTCAATTCGTTCCCTGCCTATCACTATCTTACCCCAGCACACCAACAGTCCAACACTATCATTCAGCCACCGGTCTAATCCATTGGGAACACAAACACTGCACAGCTTCAGCTTTGCCCCTTTCTTTCTCCTTTTTAGCAATCCTAGAACTCCTTTTTCTTTCTTTTAGGCAAGACCGGAATACTAGAATCATGAAGAGAGGAATGAACTAATGAAACGAGAGTCTAGTCCGGACTCCAGAGGGTTCTTTGCATGCAAAAAAAAAAAAAAACTACAGAGAGTGTTGTAATTGATTGATATAGATATCCTACTGAGGTCTGAGGCTGGCCGACCTGAAGTGTCATCAATATATTTCTCATCAGACCAAACCAACCAGACAGTAAAATGCAACTGCAATGTTCTCAGATCACAACACTAGGAAGTGCTACCCATAACCAGAAGAGTAAAAGAAAACAAAAGACGGGGATATTAGCCCTAATAATCACTACTAAAAGAACTCGAAATCCAGATATTTACCCCCGGACTTCATCATGTCAGTCTGTTGCTGTTGTTGTTGACTTTGGCCCACCATTCTCTTACTGTTGCTACCAACCCCAACAGTGTTCACAGCACCATACTTCCCCGGCGGCAGCTCAGCCTCCATTGGTCTAGGCACTTCCGGCGGAGTGCTGCATCGTATGAGAGCCCAGTTCACGCCTTCAAAGAAAGGGTGCTGCTTGATCTCCGTCGCGCCTCTCTTCACTCCAAGCCTGTGCTGTGGTTCCTTCACCAGCAAGCCACGGATCAAATCCCGGCCTGCGTAGCTCGTTGCTGGGGCTTCCGGGAACTTCAGCTGCTGCCCGACCACATTGAACAGCGTTGCCCTGTTGCCTGACCCTTTGAATGGGGTTTTCCCATACAGCAGCTCATGGAGGAAGATGCCAAATGTCCACCAGTCAACAGCGCTGCCATGGCCTTCACCTTTAATTATTTCAGGGGCGAGGTATTCGTGGGTGCCAACGAATGACATGGAGCGGGCAGCAGTGGGTTCTGCAACCAGCTCAGGGAGAGCACAATAAGGCAGCCCGAGATCTGCCCTGGACTTTTGGCTTGTTTTCTTCTTGTTCTTCTGTGGGAAGAGACGAGGGATGAAGCAAGCTGGCTGAATGCAAACGGATGTTGGTTCGATGCAAGCTGCAGGCTGAACGCAGAATGCAGCACCACCGCCACGCTTTGATGGGTCCGAGTCGTTTGAAGTCCTTATCAAAGTGGGTGAAACTGTGCATCGAAGAGAGAGGTCAAAGTCTGAGAGCATAATGTGGCCGTCGTCACGAACAAGAACGTTTTCAGGTTTTAGATCCCTGTAGACTACTCCAAGCATGTGAAGATACTCCAATGCTAATAACACCTCTGCTGCATAGAATCTGCATGGCAGTACAAGGAAAGAGTACATGATAAGACAAAGTAGAAGATGATTTCTAGCAGAGATGGATCAAGCGTTGTGTTAAATAAATCCGAAATACTTCTATTCACAGACATCATTAATTTGAATATATATATATAGTCTTCACAGCACACAATAGGGGCCCAGACATGAGAGATTATCTACTCTGCCTCGAAAAACAGAGGTGATAATAAGCGATTGACGCAAGGGGCAATAGTTTTAGTTGATCATCTCTGTGGGTGTCTTACACAGAGCAAAATTGATGAGATGAGAGAAGATCGTAGCAGAAGTGGACTGAATTTGGCGCAACTGGTTAGAAGAAGAGAACATATAGTGAGTTGCCTAAAAAGATTATCTTTCTTTCGGTAGAACAAACAGACTATCTTTGTTTCTTAAGCTCCGTTACTTAAAGGATCAATGTTTTTTGGCTCGGTACGTAAAGAATGACAATCTGATGATAAGAATCCCCGCGCACATTTTCTGTTACTGAACAGATCGTTAAAAGCTTTAGAATGAGAAGGCAGCAGGCAAGTGAAAAAGGAAGGACTGGAAAACCAACAGTAGAAACTCCACCAGGGGGCCGACAATCACCTAAATCTAATGCAAGATCATTCACCTGTCATTCAAGGAAATAGCACCCAACATAGCAGAGCTTAAAGTAAATTCAAAAGAAGAACGTCTTGCTGTCTAAAAATGTGCGCTCAGAAAGAATCAAAAGAATGTACCAGCAGCACTATATGAAAAAGCAGTTCGTACCTTGCAGCATACTCAGAGAAATGCTTCCCAGGCTGGCGCTGCCTCAGAGTATGCAAATCGCCACCAGGACAGTATTCCATTACCAAACACGAGAATCTGTCTGTCTCGAAATGAGTATACAGCGTAGGTAGAAAGGGATGATCCAGAAGCTGAAGAATCTCCCTCTCCGTCTGAGCCCTGGTCAACTTCTTCCTGCTAGCAAGCGAAGCCTTGTCCATTACCTTCATCGCGAAATAACACCGGGTCCCACTGAGTTCTGACAGGTAGACGCTTCCAATGTCACCACAACCGAGCCGTTTAAGCAATCGAAAGTGGCTCATCCCCAAAATCCCATCACGAGCTCGGATTGCAAGAATAGCCTTCCACCTTGGATCATTGCCCTTGTGAGGCTTGTTCGCACTCCCAGTGATGTTGCTCCAGTTACTGTCATCACTAAGCCCACTGCTGCTATCACTGGCTCGACTAACACTAGTCTTGCCACTCTCAAGTGAATCGCCTCTAACACTGACACTCCCTTTGGTACTCTCGTAGTGTCTGTCGATACTCAGCATGCCATCGCTCGTCATGACATCACTTCTATATGTGCTGGCACAGCTATGAACAACGCTCATTGGACTGACATTGCCACTTGGAGGCAGAGAAGCATCCCATACGCATTCCTTCCCATCCAAATCATCAGGTGGCAAGGAAAGCAAGTCACTGGGTTCTTCATCCAAACTATCAGCCGGTGAAAGGATAGTGGAACTCGGTTTCTTAACCGGGACCCCGATTGAGAGATCTTCTATGTAAGGGCCCTTTACAGACATGCTCCTCATAAGACATCCGGTCTCAGATTTCTTCTGGCCAATGGGGACATAAACAGTTCTCATGAGATCGGTGTCGACTGGTTCTGCAGGATGACTAGCCCCAGAGAAAGAGCTAGATCCAGCTTCATCAAAGGAATCAACAATGGCCTTAGACATGACAACATTAGGAATTAGCTCTTCTTGGAGGGGAACGGAGTCTTTTCCTTTCCATGGTGGCCTTACAGGGACTGGAAAACCAGTGATGTGGGGTTCTTTGGAATTGAACCTTTCCACTGCTTCTCTAACCAAACCTACCTGCAGCTGAGGCAACTGATGACCCATTTGTTTCCCTGGACCCATGCATGCACCTACTGCTACTACCTTACTCCCAGCTTTAGATTCTGCAGACCTCTGCATTCCTCCTGCTAACTATGCAAACACAATCATGGAATGACCTTCCACTGGCATAAACCTGCAGAAGGGAGGCAGAAAGACAAAGGTTAAAATCGCAATCTCATGTTGGTGGGTAATCTTTTCTTGATCTCCATTACACAGCTGATATTCCCCACTATTCAAAGAGTAACATGTATGGTTTCTGCACCCAATAGATCAAACCAGACCGTCTTTTCCAACATTCAATTGAATTCTGTTTCTCATAAGTTTATTAGTCAAATTCCCAGGGCGAAAGTGACAAGTAAGGTAAAGCAAGATCCTTGATTTATCTAAGAATTCTGCGTTATTTTGGTGGAAGTGTGTGCAAAATTTCCAGCGCCCCACAAGCTGTAGCAGAAAAAGAATGAAGCAAGAAGGGTGACTGACAAAGTGACGATCCTGAAACTTGAGTTGCAATCAAGGGCAAGAGGAGGGAGGGAATGAGAAAAGAAGGCAGAGCAGAAGGAAAAGACAGTATTGCTGAACTCACCCCATTCCCATTGGCAAGCAAAAAAACCATGTTCAATGAGCTGAAAGTAGAATGGAAAGAGGGGGAAAACGGAAAACAACCCCCAGGGGTAGGACAGAGGTCCGAAAGAAAATCCTCCCACCACGTAAGTCGCGTTTGGGTTGGTGGTGTGAGATCTCGGAATCGCCCGCCACCAAATACCCTCCCTCAAAGCATAACAAACTCAGGTGATAAAAAGCAAATGTACTAATATATATATATTAGTCTTAAACGAGGAAGAAAGAAAAACATATTGATAATTTATTTTGAGTATAATAAACGAGAAGAAACAGAGGGAAGGAAGCGGATGCGCACCCAGCCAAAGGCAGAACCCACCACCACCAGCCACCAACAGAAACAAAACAAAATAACTCCAATCCGTACGGACAAATCCCCTGGAACCTAATCAACGAACGGACAGTCCCAGCTTCTTCTTCTTCTTCTTCTTCTTCCTCTTTGCTTGATATGGGTGTGGAAGGCCAAGGAGGAGCTCCGCTGAGTGTTTCTCTGTCTAGAAAGTTGAGAGGGGAGAGAGAGAACCCCGGCAATGCGAGCTGGATCCGCCTCAACCGTTCATTCCTTGTCTCTCTATTCCGAATGCTTTTTGTTGTTGTTGTTGTTGGCTCTGCTGCGGACTGCGAGCTAAAGCTAACAAAGACTACAGACAGCAGGTATGCAATTGTGGACTGGACGCTGCTGCAGACTGCAGTGGTTCCCTCCCCTCCCAATCCCTGGTTTTGGTAGCTTTCGCTTTTTTCTCTCCTCTCCTCTCCTCTTTTCCTTTTCCTTTGTTTTCTTATTTAACTTTTGCTTTCTTTCTGTCAGGGTCTACTGCGGGCGGAAGATGGTGAGGCGTGGGGTCCATTATTGTTCCTTCTTTATGCTACACTGCTTTTCAGAGTCGTTTGTGGGGGTAGGAGAAGGTGGGGACGCTCCTCCTCCTACTGCTACTGCTACCTCCTCTCTCTCCTCTCTCTCCTCTCTCTTCTTTTCTGCTTCCGTGGCATCAGCGTCAGTCAAACTAGTTTCAAACAATTTCTTAAAACCTAAAATCTTCTACTCATTCTCGATGATACGCCTTCAAACCAGCTCATCTGTTCACCATCAGTTATATTCTACCTAAACTCCGAGAAAATTTTAGGGCAATGTCTATTTTTTACCCAAACCTTTTTCAAATTCTTTTATTTTAACCAAACCTATAGAAATTCTATTTATTATCAAACGTATTATAATTTATCAAAGTCTGGGCATTCATTCTGTTACCGTTACTTATTTCGTCCACGTGAGGGGTGAGATTTTGTTTTGTTTTTTGATAATCTTTTTATTAAAAATAGTAAATGATGGTATTATGACCGTCACGTCGGAAGTCAACTCATTATGGTCATACTTAGTCAGCATTACTAACAGAAAAGTTGACGGAGAGTTAACGTTTGGATAATTTTTAGGAATTCAATAGGTTTGGTTAAAATAAAAGAATCTGAAAAAGGTTTGGGTAAAAAATAGACATTGCCCAAAATTTTATTTGAATCGAGCACGTATAGTTTGAGTTTAGCTTTCTTCGCTGCAACAAATTCGACCTATTAGGATAAATTTTTATTTTGTCATTTTCTGTTTGTCACAATAGGCACGGTGATATGACAAAAATAATATATGTTCTATTTGGTATGCCTAATGTGACAAAATTACTGTTGTCAGAATAATTCGTCATTTAAAGTGAATAACGTGACAAATATATCGTGTCACAATTAATTTTGTCAAAATAGGCGTCCCATATAGGGTTGTAAGAGACTCAACAGTGACAAATTTCTTGTTGTCAGAATATTTCGTCATTTAAAGTGGGTAATGTGACAAATATTTCGTGTCACAATTAAGTTTGCAAAATTATGCATTCCTGAATTGTTTAAATGACAAAGTATTTTGTTACAATAGATAGCAATAAACTCACGGCGAGCTGACAAAAGGATATGTTCATCATAATATAGTGGTTTTGACTTTGACAAAAGGCATGTTCGTCATAATATAGTAGTTTCGTTTTTGACAAAAGTCATTTTCGTCATTTTTGCTTGTGTCAGACTGAAACCTCGTGTGAGACTGAAACCAATTGGTCTTGCCGACACATTTTATGTTGAACTGACACAAATCTCATTCCTCACCCAAAATTTGACCATACCCCGCCCAAATTACAACCATGTCCTGCCCAAAAAAATTCCCCAAGCCCGCCCACATTTCCCCTTGCAATTGAAATATTCAAATCACCCACCCAACTGCCCCTAATACACATTTAATTTATTGATCCCCTTTTTCAGTGCTATTATAAAATGAAATTTAAAAAATAAAAAAGGAAAATTTTGGGTCACTGAACCCTAATTCCATTTCGTGAGGAACCAGAGACGAGCTCTGAAAGCTCCGCCCCAAAACCCATCGTCGTGTCGCCGCTCCCCTTCACTGCTCCCCGTCGCTCGTCGATCAAGAACCAGCGATTTGGTAACCTCCAGCCTGCGAACTCAGCGACGAACCAAGCTCCAGTCGTCGAAGAAGTTTCTCCTACCTTGCTGCCTCTCTTGAATCTTCGTTCTCCTGCCTCTGCTCTGCCGTCGTTCGTCCTCCCGGCTCTTGCTCCTGCGCCGGCCGGCGCCACCTCCACCCACTGCCCTACTACTTCCGTCGATGAGTCCCACCTCCTCCAACAAAGGTAATTTCAAAATTGATTTCTTTTGTTTTGTAGGCCTGCTAATATTTGCCCACAAATTATCCCTTCTTCTGCTTTTTTCTCTCTCACCCACGACATATTAGTTATAGCAGTTCTCTCTCCCATTAATAGTGACGTGTTGTGATTATGTGCCTGTAAATGGTTGTTCTTTGTGTCTCATTAAAACTAGCCATCTAGTTTGTTTCTCCTGCTTCGAAGTTAAAATAATCGGATTTGTTCTTGTTATGATGGCAGGTTGTCAGTGGGATTGCTTTGCCATCTAGGTCGGGGAGCCAAGATGAAACTGTCATAATTTGGGATTGCCAATCCGGCCAGGTTGCTATAGTCTAACTGTATAAATAGTTGGTTCCTCCATTCCTTGTTCTGTAATCTTTTATTGTATAAGTTTTCTAATAGTTTACTTGTCGTGATTATCCAATGCATGGGAGTTATCAATCTGGGTGGTGAAGTAGGTTGCATGATCACCGAAGGTCCATGAATTTTTGTCGGTATCCCAAATCTTGTGAAGGTTAGGAAGACATGAAATTTAGTCGATTCCTAGTATGTTTGATTTTGCTTTTAGTTTATGTCTGCCAGTGAGTTAGTATCTGCATTTTTCTGAGTTAGTTCTTTTTGTGACCAATGGTGGTCCCTTTTCAAATTGATATCAAAGGGTTTGCATATTTTTTTCATGCATGGAACTTGCAGACCAACGCTGACCTAAGTCTTAGTGGGCCTGTTGGACAAGTTTATGCTATGGTTGTGGGTAGTGGCTTGCTATTTGCTGGCACCCAAGTAATATGTCACTGGATTATAGATCTTTCTGTCCTTATCTGTGGCTCAACTGTATAAACTGAAGTTTGGACATATTAGTGATGTTTTTGTTGCATTAGACTTCTGGATGCATCATCATGCTGCATGTAGTCATTCTTTTGCAGTTGTATAGGATGAACAACTTATAACTGTTAAAATATTTAGTGCAGGATTCAGCAATCTTGGCATGGATATATAATGCAGCCACAAGCATCTTTGAACCAGCTGCATCACTTAAGGGTCATACGTTAGCTGTTGTCTCATTAGTGGTTGGAGCTAACAAACTCTTCTCTGGTTCCATGGACAATTCTTTAGAAGGTGTGTTCACTCTCATGATCTTATCATACTACCTGTTTTAGCTATATTTTAATTGAACAGTCATGTTTGCTACATATATTCAGCTGTATTGTTTGGTTTTACTAAACCCATTATGGATTTTTCTGGCGTAGGAAAGAACTTTCTGAACATGAAACTAAGAACATGGTTTACATTTTGACTTGAATTTGCTGGCACAGGATAGCGTTTACCAAAGTGTGAAAACCAGGAGCTTCAAAATATAATCCAAGAAAATCGATTCACAAATCGTGTCCTTTCGACCAGAGCTTCATTGTTCTCATGTGAAGTCTAAGCGGCTCGAGCTCATCACCGTATCATCATTGACTTGAGGAGTAAGTAGTGAGATTGTTTAGAAGGTCCTGAAGAAAAAGGTGAAGCATGGACCGAAGGAGAACCCAAGATTTGCAAAGGAGTTAGAATGTTTTGTGTCATGGTGAACAACTTAGAATGTTTGGTTATGCTGAACAAGGAGTTAGACTGCTATGAAAATAGTTGTAATGTTTTGGATCTTTGGTAATCTTTCCATTATCAGGATGCAATGCAGGAAAAAATTTCGAATTATGAAATTTTTGAAGCAGGTCAAATGTGACAACAATGTCATGTCGTCACATTATGTACATTGCCTGACAAATTGTTCTCTTGTCATATTAGACATGAGACAAATAAACCACCTATCTTGACAACCTATACTCATCATAATATGCAGTTATGATAAATATATTCGTCATAATATTTAGTTATGACAAAATAATGTCGTCACAATAAACACTTGTGACAAAATGTAGTCGTCACATTATACAGTTATGACAAAATATAATTGCGTAATATGACGAACAATTCTCCCAAAATCACCAGATTATGACAACCGTAATGACAAAATATGTCGTCATAACATCTCTGTTTGTCACAATAGACTACCCAGAACCTCAGCTATACTGAAAGCAAATGTGACAAACTTGTTTTAAATTTTTGTCACATTTGAGCTATCCTGACGGCGATAAAATGAAAAACTTTTGTGACAATAGCTCTTGTCATATTATACCTAATATGACCAAATTTATATCTAATATGACCAAATTTCCTCGTCGTAATAGGCCGAATTTGTTGTAGTGCTTCAACTAGTAAGTCATCTTGGTTATGTGGCATGTTGTGCTTAATTTATGAGTTTTTCCAATTTGAACTTGTGAGATGTGTTAATATTATGGTGAGCAAGTCAAATCGACTATCTATCTATGAATGAATCGATCTATACCGTGACTTGGAGGACTAAACTAGATTTCTTGATTAGGGAACTTAGCTAGACTAGGATAGGTTCTCCTTATTGAGATTAAGGAACTAGGATAGATTTTCCTTATTGGATTAAGAATCAACTAGAAGGTTTTATTCTAGTAAGATTTATGAATTCTAATTCCATAAAATCGCCCGAAATCGGTGATGGTACCCCTTTGGAATCTGTCAAAAATTGTCCCAGAAATTTTCCGCCTGAATCGGTGCTTAATAGACTTATTCATCCCTAAAAAATAGCCTCAGGCTGAATCCGTGATCTGCAGTCTTCAAAATCTAGGACAATGACCATTCAAAAAATCACCTAAAAATTACGAAAATACCCTCCGAAAAAATTCATAGTGTTATGATGACATAGTTTATTTTTTCTTAAAGATAAGATTCCATATTATCTTATTGTTGTCATACCTATATCATATCACTATGATAAGACTTCATAATATCATCTCACCTCTGTCTTACCATGATATTATCACTATGATAAGACTAACATCACCATCATACCATTTTCATAT